GGGCGAGAGGAGATGTTGACGAGTGGCGAGTTAATTAAATCATGTTTAATTGTAGCCACTGGAAGAGAAAAAACCTGTGTCCGGAGAAAATAAACTTAACACTATTAGCCTTTCCGTGAGAGAGCAGTGCCAAGAGTTGAAGACACTGGGAATAAAATCAATAGTCAATTAAAGGCGAGCCAGATGGTTTCGAGTGGGTTTCCTTGGCTCCTAACAAGCCGGCAGATGTCGCCAATACCGCTCGGCTGTTGCCCGTCCAAGGGGGCGGCTGCCAACTTGGAAGTGACTGAAGGACCCAGGCTCTGTGAGGCGTCTGCATGAAACCAAGGCGAGTATTTGTGGGAGACGCTGAGAAAACACCAACTCACTACACCCCGAAGTGGAACCTGCTAAGATGTGAAAAAACTGATGGTGGTGAAAAGATGTGTGGAGCTTAAAAAAAAAAAAAAAAAAAAAGGCTGAGTTGGACAAACTTTATGAAAATATGAAGTGCTTAAAGCTTATGAGGCCCGGCCGGCGTGGCTCAGTGCTTGAGCGTCGGCCTGTGAACCAGGAGGTCACGGTTCGATTCTCATTCAGGGCACAGGCCCGGGTTTGCGGGCTCCATCCCCAGTGGGGGGCGTGCAGGAGGCAGCCGATCCATGATTCCCTCATTATTGATGTTTCTCTCTCCCTCTCCCTTCCTCTCTGACATCAATAAACATAATTTTTTAATAAAAAGCTTATGGATAGCCGAAACCGGTTTGGCTCAGTGGATAGAGCGTCGGCCTGCGGACTGAGGGGTCCCGGGTTCGATTCCGGTCAAGGGCATGTACCTTGGTTGCGGGCACATCCCCAGTAGGAGGTGTGCAGGAGGCAGCTGATCAATGTTTCTCTCTCATCGATGTTTCTAGCTCTCTATCTCTCTCCCTTCCTCCCTGTGAAAAATCAATAAAATCTATTAAAAAAAAAAAAGCTTATGGGCGTTCACTGTATCAGCCGCCAGTGTCTCCAGGAAGCTGACGCGTAGCCGTTTGCCACCGCTACAGGGTCCCCTTCAACGACCCCGGCACGTCTCCTCCCACACAGGTGGGCGCAGCCGGAAGCTGCCCTGGGGAGGACCTCCCCTCACCACTGCCCCGGGCTGCCCTGGAGGGAGGCTCCACTCAGCGGCTGCCTGCGGGGGTGGCACGCACATCCTAAGCTTCACATCCACACATCGGGCTCCGGCGTGTTCCTCTGTCTGCTGGTGCCAAGGGGCCCCGTAGGCCCACGGTCTGAGCCGAGGGGGGGGGTGGGGAGAACAGCGGGGTCACCTGAGAGTGTCGTGTAGCTGCCTCTGTCGCTTGTGTCGTTGGTTTCCCACGGTCTGTGCGCGTGGCCACCGGTGAGCTGAGGGAGGCCTGCCATGCTTCTTCAGACTCGAAGGGTCCAGGGGGGCCTGGGAATGCAAGTTTTGGGGGGCCATCAACCCAGGGGATCCCAGCCCACGTGTCAGACTTCCGTTCTTTCTCCCACCCGGATCTGGGCCCAGCACCCTACCTTGGTGGAGAGTTGAACCTTCGCGAGAGGTTGGCCACGTGTCCTGGCCTGGCCCTCGGCTTTCTCTGCCCTCGGCTTTCCGGGTAGATGAGAGCGTCTCCATAGGCTCGGAGGAGGCCGCTGCTTTTGCACTTGGAGTGTAATTGCCTTTAGATGCGCTCTGAGCCTCCTGTTATCTTGCTTAGAGCGTCAGTGGACCTAGAAGTAGCCATCCGACCCTCACAGCTAATTCCCTGTAACTTTAAATGCCCGCTGTGCACCCTAGCCCATGTGGCTGGGCCAGAGCGTTGTCCTGTGCACCGAAGAGTTGTGGGTTCGATTCCTGATCAGGGCACATGCCCAGGGTGTGGTGCCATCCCGTCAGTGTGTGTACCTCTCTCTCTCTCTCTCTCCTCTTCCTCTCTCTCTCAAATAGACAAAAACACCCTCGGCACTGGCCGGCAGACTCAGTGGTTAGAGCCTTCACACCTGAGGGTCTCGGGTTCGATTCCTAGTCAAGGGCAAGTACCTGGATTCCACATGTGGGAGGAAACCAACTGATGTGTCTCTCTCACGTCGGTGTTTCTCTCTCTCCTCTCTCTCTTCCCCCTCCCTTCCACTCTCTAAAAATCAATGGGAAAATATATCCTCACTCCTTGGGTGAGGATTAACAGCAGCAAAAACTAACTAAACACATGTCCTTGGGAAGGATTTTTAAAAAGAAATACACATATTTGAATAGAAAACTCCTGCCTCTAACAATACGTTTCACGGCACCTGTCCTCCGCGCTTCTGTCAGTGACCGTGCGCTGGCTCATTCTCCGGACGCGTTTTCTGTCACAGTTCACCTCCCAGAAGCACTTGGGAAAAGCCTGGTGGAAACTGAATTCACAAAGACGCCTGTCACTCGCCCGCACCCTGCAGTTCACCTCCCAGAAGCACTTGGGAGAAGCCTGGTGGAAACTGAATTCACAAAGACGCCTGTCACTCGCCCGCACCCTGGATGACAGTTGAGGTGGCGGTGCTTGGTGGACGGCCCCCCTTAGACACTGAATCGCATCAGTCGTGGGACCCCGCGGCGACCTGCTCACAGCCCCAGCTGGCTCACCTTGCACGCTCGGAGGGCTCCCCTTCTCCGCTCGGCTCTCCCTTCCCGGGAACCGCACTCAACCGTGACAGGAACTTCTGGGTCTGTGCTCCGTTCTTTTATTTACTTAAAAAAATTATTTTCAACATTTTTATTTTTAGAGAGAGAGGAAGAGAGAAACATTGCTGATCGGCTGCCTCCTGCACGCCCCCTACTGGGATCAAGCCCAAGACTGGGCATGTGCCCTGACCGGGATGGAGCGGCGCCCTGTGGGGCACGGGGGATGCCACCCTGACCAGGGCTTTATCTACTATTTGAAACCTTTTCCCTCCTCTGCCCTTTCGCGCTGCCCCCCAGGAGGACTCCTCGTGCCGCACTTCCCACTCGCGAGCCTGCACGTGGCTACCTCCCTCCTGTCCCTCCTGCCCATTGACCACGACCACGACCACGGCCACGGTGAGTTTGGCGCGGCTCCTCTCCGAGCCAGAGAAGGCTTTGTTAATGGAGGTTTGCTCAGCGCCACCAAGACGCCTCCCCCCACCGAGAAGACCAACTTCACTTCTGTAAAGAGCTGCTCAGGGCGCTCATGGCTGCTGTGTTTCTTGTGTTGAATTGAGGGGCTCTTTCATGCCGCTGGTTTCCTCCAAAGCTTGTGATCCGTAGTTGGGTGCTCACCTTTATATATATATATATTTTATTGATTTCAGAGAGGAAGGGAGAGGGGGAGATAGAAACATCAATGATGAGAATCATTGATCAGCTGCCTCCTGCACGCCTCCTACTGGGGATCGAGCCTGCAACCTGGGCATGTGCCCTTGATGGAATTGAACCCAGGACCCTTCAGTCCACAGGTGACGCTCTATCCACTGAGCCACACTGCCTAGGGCTTGTCGCTGTGTTTTTTAATTGAAATCTCAGTGTCCACGCATCCTTTCATTTTCCTCTTTCTCCTTCCTGAACAACTCCGTCTGACAGGCATTGGGCTGGACAGGGTGTCCTAGGTGTACCTGGGGGTGGGGGTTAAGAGCCACCATGGCCTGGAGCAGGTGTGGATGCCAAGGGGGTGAGGAAGGTGTTGGCATCGAGATGTGCCCCACACGGGGCCCTGGCAGAGAGGAGTCCACACAGGGGCCTGTTGGCACCGAGGGTCAGACCCAGGCTGGTGGGGGGTTCACGGACGCGGTGGTAACCGGTATCGCACCTGGGCGGGGTGGAGGGCACCCTCAGTGGTAAAGTCAGGAGGGCACCTGGCAATTCCCATCAGCCACGTCGGTGAGCGGAGCCTTCACACGGGACAGCGGTCAATGTGGGGAGCGGGAACCTGAGCCACAGGAGGGGGTGATGGCCCGGCCAGGGGGCTCAGGCAGGGAGGGGCAGGGCCCGCACAGGACAGAGGCAGCTGCGGGAGGTGGGGACAGACAGGGGAGATCAAATCCGAAGATGGATTCGGGGAGTGGGAGGCAATGTGACGGACAAGTTCTGTGCCGGACACGGGAGTGGCAATGTGACCAGGAGACCTGGTGACGCCTGGGTTTTAGACGGGGCTGGAGGCACCAGGGTGATGGCGGGTAGGAAGGTGTGCGGACCTGGGCTCCCTGTCTGTTCCCCGAGGGCCGGGACAGGCAGCGCCCCCACCACGATGCACCGGGTGTGCGCGTTATGCAGCGGCCCCCACCCAGGAACGCCGTCTGTCCCTGGCTGCCAGTGTTCAAGGTTTGTGGTGCGACTGTCCTTGTTCTGATGCTGACGTAGATTAGGTGGTACCCGGCCCGTTCCCACGGGAGCTGCTTTCAAGGGCGCAGCCTGGAGGTGGTAGCGCGGCGTTGAGACCCCTGGACGGCGCGTGTGATGGGCCCAGGAAGGCCTCTGTTCACTTCAGATCCCGGTGGGCGGGGGCAGAGATCGCCCGTCTTGGTCCCCGGGACCAGCCTCCTGTGTGAGCTCCCTGCTGGCTGACCTGCGCCCAGGAGCCTGGAGCCATCGGCCTCTTCCTTTGGGGTCTCCCTACCTGTGGGTACCGGGGCCCGTTTACGAGCCACAGGAGCCTGGATCCCAGAGTTTGGGGGGTGGGCTCCTGTCAATCATGGGGGTGGGAGACCAAGCAGACCTGGGTGGGCAAATCCCTGGCAAACGTGCGGCCATTGCTGTTACCACCCTCCCACCCTCTGGCTTCCATGACCCACAGCCTTGGGCGTCGCACTCTGCAGACCCAACACCGGTGCTCCGAGTCGGCCGGCGTGGCAGACCTGTGCCCCCAACTCGCCCACCAATCCCAGCCTCTGCTCAGACGGGCAGGGGCTCCAAGTCCCTCTGACGATAACCCTGCCAGCTCCTCTGAGCGGGCGTAGGAGGCGCTCAGTGCCCGCCGTCTGCCCTGCCCTCCGGGAGCTGGTCGGACACACAGGCGGGGACGGACCGCGTCACTGCTTTACTGGGAGGGGAATACACTCCGACACGATGCAGGGCTCCGAGCCCAGCACGATCTCCAGCTCCAGGTGCAGCTGGTTGGCCGTGACTCGGTAGTGGCCCTTAATGAAGCCCCGGGAGCTGCAGGGCCGGCACCGCCAATAGCCCTGGATGATGCGGGCGGCGTGGAGCAGGCGGCAGTAGCGCAGGCGGATGCGCCACATGCGGACCCAGGACTGCAGCCTGACCGCGGCCCACTCCTTCCGGGTGAAGGCCTCCAGCACCGCCCGCCGCCGCGCCTCCAGTGCCCTCATGCGGATCTGCTTCCACCAGCGCTGGATGGTCAGGGCTCCGAGGGCCGCGAACAGCAGGGACCGGCGCACCCGGATGCCCCGCCACCAGGCCTGGATCCTCACCACTTCTGGGTCGCGAGGGGGGGGCCTACTTTTGTATGGTAAGATCTTGCAAGAAAAAAAAAAAAAGAGGCCGTTCAGATCCGGGGGTTTGCCACGGAGGGACCCAGACTCCCTCTCAGTAATCACCCCTCCTCCCGGCCTCAGAAACACTGGGCAGGGCCCTGACTGGAACCAGAGGCCAAGCCGGTGTCCTGTCTCTGTCCCTCCCTGGCTGACGGACATGGACACACTGACCTCTGAGCCTCGTTGTTCCCATCCATAAAATGGGATCACATCGGCCCTGGCGGCCAGTTTCATGTGACTCTAGGAGGCCAGCCAAGGGCAAGAGCACCATGAGCTGTCGGTCAAAGGGTGACCCTGTTTACCTGCCCAGGATCCATGACCCCTCCCCCCAGGCCCCACCCGCCTCCTGGAGAAGGGGCATCTTTTGCTAATTCTGCCCTTTCGTCTTTCACCCCAACTCCAGTCCACAGCATGCTCTCTTCCCCTGCATGCCACAGTATGAAGTTCCCTCCGGCCCTGGCCGGTGGGCCTCAGTGGTTAGAGCGTTGGCTTGTGCACCAAAGGGTCACAGGTTCGATTCCTGGTCAAGGGCACATACCTGGGTTGGGGATTTGCTCCCTACCCCGTTCAGGGCAGGTGCTAGAAGCAAACAATGATCTCTCTCTCTCTCCCTCTCTCCCTCTCTCTCTCTCCCTCCCTCCCCTCTCCTGCCCTCCCTCGCACACTCTCTGAAAAGCAATGGGAAAAGTATCCTCAGGTGAAGATCAACCAAAAGAAAGTTTCCTCCACGCCAGGCCATGCTTGCAGCTCCACCGCCCATCTCTTCCCCATCCTCACTTCCCCACTTTAATCCTAACGAACAGGCAAACATACATGCACAAGCTCGCAGCCCTTCCCCAGGCCCCTTCTCCTGTGCGGGCCACTCCATTCCGCAGACCCAGCCCCGCCCCCCAGCCGTGTGTCTGGGGGAGTCATACTTTTTTGGGTCCTTCATTAGCATTATCCACTTTCTTTGCCTCAACTGTATTCGCATTGTTCGCCTGAAAAAGGAATGGGGGAAGAGGACAGAGGAGGAGTTGGTTCCTGTCCTTCGCTCTGGGCCACGCAGAAGACACCAGCCACCGGCCCTAGGAGACAGGCCGGACCCCGGACAGGGCGCCTACCTCCGCCTCGGCCTCTAGGGCCCGCGGTGCTGGGGGCGAGCCCGTTGGCTCCCCCTGCGGCTGAGGCTCCTCTTCCGCGAGTTCGTCAGCGTTCTCAGGCTGGTCCATCTCCTGCTATCAGCAGTTGGGGGGGAAGGAGAGATTCTCCCTTCAGTATCCCACAGTCCTCAGCTTCCAGGGCTCCCAGCGTATTCAGGTGTCAGGGCGCCCCCTCATCCTGTGGGGACACCCCTAAAAAGCCTGCATCTGTCTCTTACCATTGGTCCCACATGGGTTGGGTGTAGATGGTTCAAATCCCCTCAGGTCTGTTACTCCAGCCACGGCATGGGGAAAGAGTGTGTGTGTGTGGGGGGAGCTATGATGTCATAAGGGCAGCTATGACTCAGGAACCAGGATGGCTCCCAATTGCTGAGCCCCCTCCAGGAAAAGACAGAGGTCTCTTCATTCTTTTCTGCTGGAAGTGGCCAAAGCCCAGACACCAGAAGTACTGGCCCACTGACGTAAAGGTGTGAAAGATGACCCTCCCCAACTGGAAAAACTGGGGATTGATCTAATAGTTTACCGTCCATCCATACTCTAGAATACTATGTAGCTGTTAGAAAACAATGAATTTGATCTATATGTCCTGATGTGGAAGTATATCCAAGATGCATTTTTATAAAAAATATATTTTTATTGATTTCACAGAGGAGGGAGAGGGAAAGAGAAACATTAATTATGAGAATCATTGATCGGCTGCCTCCTGCACACCCCCTACTGAGGATGTAGCCCGCAACCTGGGCATGTGCCCTGACCAGGAATCGAACCATGACCTCCTGGTTCATAGGTCAATACTCAAGCACTGAGCCACAGCCGGGCTCAAGATGCATTTCTAAGTGAAAAAAGTTGAAGATCAGTATGACTCCATTTAAGTAAATAAAACCATCAAGATACATAATTACCATGAACCAGGAGGTCACCGTTCAATTCCAGGTCAGGGCACATGCCCAGGTTGTGGGCTCGATCCCCAGCAGGGGGGTGTGCAAGAGGCAGCCGATTGATGATTCTCTCTCATCATTGATATTTCTATCTCTCTCCCCCTCTCTTTTGCTCTCTCTGAAATCAGTAAAAAGTATTTTTTTTTAAGTTGCATTACATTTAGGGGAAGAAAAGTTAACATGACAGATAAAATAAAAAGCACCCCCAAAATTGAAAGACACAGGGCAATAAACAAAAATCTATTTCTACACATCAATAAACAGTTGGCAAATTCTTGATATAGAAGTGCAAGGTTAAAGATTTACATCATCTGATTTCAAGACAATGGTTCACTGTCTTGAAAAACGATCAAGTTACAGTAATCCAGACAACGTGGTTTTAGTGTGTAAGAAGAGACAAACAGGTCAATGAAACAGAATGAAGAAGCCAGAAACAGACTCACATTTACAGCCTATTGATTTTTTTTAATGTACCAAGATAATTCCATGCAGAAAGGAAATGCATTTTTCAATGGGAAAAAAAATTTGACCCTTATCTAATATCATAGACCAAAAAAAAAATTAATTCAAGATCTACCATAGGCCTAAACAAAAACTGAAGCTAAAACTATAAAGCTTATAGAAGAAAAGCCATGGGAATTCCTTTGTGATCCTGGAATCAACGAAGACAGGATAGAGCACAAACTCTAAAATATTGACAGACTGGCTTTGTCCAAATTAAAACTGCTCATCAAGACGGCACTCTTCCAAAGCCACAAGCTTAGGAGAACTTCAGCACGTAGATCTGACAAAGGACTCATAACCAGAACACAAGATGTTCTACAACACGATAAAGACACGCAACCCAATAAAAATGGTCAAAAGGCTTAAGCCCATACATCATAAAAGATCTTCAAACGGCCACGAAACACATGGAAAGTTGCTCAACACCCTTACTTATCAGGGAAAGGCAACATTGAAACCACGGTGGGTTAACGCAAGGCACCCATTAACGATGGCAAAACATAAAGGAAAAACATGGGAACCACTGCTGACAAGAAGAAACCACCAGTTTGGAAGTCAGAGTGGCTGTTTCTGATAACAGGAAGCGCGGACCTTCGCCCACTGCATGACTCAGCCCCTCACTCCCAGGTATGGTTTACTCGGGAGATTTACTCGGGAGACAGCGTGCATGTTCCAAGGCTTGTACAGGAGCATTAGAACGCCCGTCGCATTATAATCATAAAAGCCAAATACTGGGAACGAGTCGAATGTCTACGGAGTGGGGTTTTAGTATACTCATAAGATGACGCATTAAACAATAAAAAGCAAAGAACTAGTTAATGACACATGCATTGACATGGATATATCTTTTTTTTCCAACTCCAGTTTACATTCAATATTATTTTGTATTAGTTTCAGGTGCGGCCTGGGTGTAGCTTACAGTCATCATGTTGCGAAAAGAAAGCCAAACCAAAACACAAAGCACTGTTTAATGCCATTTATATGAAGTTTTAAAACATGCAAAACTGATATACAGTGATGGAAACCAAGCAGTGCTTGCCTCTGAGAGCTGAGATTCATTAGAAAGAGGCACGAAGGAGCTTTCTGGGAAGATGGAAATGTTCTGTATGCTGATGAGGTGTAGATTATGGGATATATCCATTTGCAGAACTCATTTAACTGCCCATTTGAAATTTCTTCATTCGACTATACATAAATTATACCTTGATATTTTTTTTTTAGATGAAGTTAAAATAAAAACAAAAAAATTACTCCCTAGGGCTGTGCCAATAGGAAATGGTTCACATCTTAGGGGCATCTCAGTGTTGCTGGCGTGTCACTCAGGAGGTAAGTTTGTCATCAATGAGCTCATTCTGAGACAGGACATGGGGAGTGAATCCCATGGGCATCCCCTAATCCTACACGATTTTTAGGCCTTCAGTCCGAGCCAGACCTCCTGGCCCAGGGAACTGAGGCAGGGGCAGGTGTGAGGGGGCAGGAGGGGAGCCATGTGGCTCTCCCCCGACCCCGGGTTAAGGGATCCCTAACACTCCTTCTCATCCCCCCGAGGGGACGTCAGTGCCGCCTGCACCTCCAGCTGCCTGGCCACCTGCTTGCCCACTCCACCCCACGCAGGAGCGCATCACCCAGTGGGTGAAATCAGGGGCCTGAGCCAACATTCCTGACACACCCACCGCAGGGTCACGGCCGGCCGGCTCCTGGAGGGCACCCAGCCTCACTGCCCCGTCCCAGGCAGCACCTGCAGTCGCCCTCCCCGGGGCGTCCGGCCTGAGGGGGCAGGTCAGCCTGACTTGGAGGCCTGGCTGTCTTCACGTCACTCAGACCCACCGCCTGCCCCCGAGGTCACTGAGGGTGCGCGGGTCCAGGACCAGGAGCGCCGAGGGCCTGTCTACAAGTTCCTGGCGGAGGGCAAGCAGCCCCCCAGCCGGCAGAGCAGACAGACTGCGGAGCGTGGCCCTCCCCAGGCCCTGCCACCCCTCCCCCCAGGCAAGAAGGGCAGGAGACAAGGCCCAAAAGAGGAGACTTTTAATACAAGAGGGCAGGGCGGGCGGGAAGGACTTAAATAGGGGACGGGCGTCAGGAGCCTGCGGCCGTGGGCCTGGGGGCCCTCCGCAAGGGGATGATGCACACGGAGTTCCGAGCCTCTTTGATCCGCCACCATCGGCCCAGCCTGCGGGGCGAGGGAGAAGCTGAGGCCGGGGCAGCCCCCAGTCCCAACCCAGGTCCCACCCAGCCGCCAGCCAGTGCCCTTCCCCACCCTCCCCTCCAGGGCGCCTCTTACCTGTGCTCCTGCCCCACCCCGGCCACCAGGAAGTCCCCGGCGCTGGAGAACTTGAGGCTATTGATGAAGCCCACCTGGGAAAGGGGGTGATGGCAGAGGGATGAGCGCGCCCCCCCCGCCCCCCCACGGCCTGCACATCAGGGTCGAGGCTTGGCCTTAGCTGACCTGCCTTCCACCCCTGCTCCGCCTCCTCCCGCCCCCCAACCAGCCATCACCCCTGGGCTGGGGCCTCGGCCTCCACACGAGCTTTGTGAGGACTAAGGAGACAGTGTACGCCAAGCACGTCAGTGTGGCCCAGGGCCAGGCTCCTGGCTGTGGGGCCTGGAGACCCCATTGCCATCACCCTTGACCCAAGCTCTGCACTTCACCAGACGTCACTGACAGACCTGCCACTCTCCCCGCGGTCACCCAAGTGGGCGCCCCAGCTCAGCATCAACCTGGCACTGCCACAGAGCCCATCGCAGGGCCGGGCCGCCACACCTGTGCCCGTGGGCTCCCTGCCTCGTACCCAGCACCCAGGGGGGAGGGAGAGGAAGGAGCAGGGAGGGTTCTGCCGGGCCCCGGGCTAGGAGAGGAGGCTCCCTCCTGCTAGAAAGACAGTCCAGGGACCTTGGGGTGCGGCCAAGATGGCCGGGCACTCAGGCCCACTCACCAGGGGGATGTCGCAGAGAGGGTCGAGCTGCCGGAAGCCCTCCCCGCACCGCCAGAGCCGCACGCAGGCGCTGTGGGAGCCTGGGGGGGAGGGCGACAGTGAGCACCGCACCAGCCGGGGCCCCCTCTGCCCCAGGGCACTCACCACCCAGGACGCTCACCGGTGGCCACGAGGTCTGTGTTGAGCAGGGCGGCCACTGACGACACCCAGAAGGGCTGCTCCAGGCCCGGCTCCCCCCGCAGCCCGTGGGCCTCCCGCTGCAGGGCAAGCGGCCGCTTCTTGGAGAGGCCCCACAAGGCCAGGGAGCTGGGGACAGGGAGCACAGTGAGGCCAGGCAGGCAGGCAGGGCACACCGGCCGGGACGCAGCAGGTGACCTGAGCTCTCCCCCGTCAGCGTCTGCACCTGTGAACCCGTTACAACTGCTGCCAGGCAGGGGCCCAGGGGCTGGGCCGTGGGGGGGGCACCTCTTACCCGTCGTCGGCGCCCGACACCATGTGCTCCTCGTTGATGAGCTGAATGTTGTCAATGGAGCCCCTACGAAAGGAGCAGTGAGGGGTGCCCCCTACGGGCGCGCCCGCCCCCATGCCCGGCTGTCCCCGCAGCCTTACTGGTGGCCGTAGAAGACGAGCTGGGACTCCTCAGGGATCTTCCACACGCGCACGGTGCCGTCCCGGCCGCCCGCCGTCACGCAGCACTCCCTGCTCAGAGCGTCCAGCGCAGCCACCGCGTCCTGGTGCCCGAAGCTGGAGGGGCACAGAGCCTGGGTCACCCACGATCGCGCACGTGCGCACGGGCACACGCACACCCTCCCCACACGCACTCACAGCGTCTCCACGTAGGAGTTCTCCGCCACGTTCCACACCTTCACCGAGCGGTCGTGGGACGTGCTGTAGAGCTGGTGGGTGCCTCGGCGGAACGCCAGCCCCTGGGGGGCACAGAGAGAGGGCAGAGGCTGGGCTGCAGGCGGCAGAGGGCACAGGGAGCCAGCTCCCCGGGCGGCTGTGGGCCACTTCTGTGCCACCCTGCCTGCAGGCGGCGGCCGCTCACCTGCCCTCACCTGCCCTGGCAGCGGCAGTCTTCCCAGAGGCTCCCTGCTCCGGGGGCAGCTCCACCCAGCCCCCCGGCTCTCTCCCGTCATGACTGACCACGCCACTCACTGCGCCAACGTGCAGGCTCCCGGCTCCCTGAGCCTCAGCCACCCCATCCCCAGGCCCGGCCGCCCGGCGCTCCCTGAAGGTCCCGCACGGAGGCCCACTCCTCACCGACACGGCGTCCCGGTGCCCCGTGAAGGTGTACAGGTGCCTGCAGCTCGGGGCCTCCCAGATGAGGATGAGCTTGCTGCGGTCGCCCGAGGCCTGTGGGGAGGAGGACAGTGGCCACAGGCGCCCGTGTGCCCAGACCTCTCACCGCCCCAGGGCCCACCGGCCTTACCAGGTACTTGCCGTCGGAGGAGATGGCCATGCAGAGCACGTGGCTGCTGTGGCCGGGGGGCTGCCCCTCCGCGCCCTTC